TACGTTTGTGCTTGCTAAATCCACATTGAGCACACACACAGGTTAACTATCACTGATGACAAAAGAATAGCAGTAACAGAGCTCATAAAAGCTACTGTTTTGTATTACAGTTTTCTAAATCCATCAGCTAATGTGGCAACTGGAAAAAGGAACTTTCCAAAGACCTGTTGGGTAGTTGTCATATTTGCATTCATTGCAGTTGTATGAAAAAGAGGAAAGCAGATCACAAGTACTCTAATACCATCTGACACAAGGCAGCTAATATCATAATAGCCGATGATAATCACTAGGTAGTTGCAAAATAATAATGTTACACAGCACCAGGTGATTATTAGAGAGAGAACTGTGACTCTGATCTGTTTTAGAATAGTTGACCCCAGCATAGTGGAGCGATATGATAATTAAACTCTATTTAGTTGTGTATATCAGAGGTGAGGAATATGTGACCCTCAAATGTTGCTCAAGTACAACTCTGATATTCCTCACTACCAGCAATGCTGAATAATGCAGACAGGAAGTCGAGCCCAGAAACATCTTAGAGGGCCACACATTCCCTAGTTCTGGAGTATATGGTGGTAAATATGTATCATCAATATTATTTAAATATCTTTCTATTGGTTGTGCACTGCAGGAATAATGGATGTAACATTGGGGATATCAGACTTATATTATTGTAACTCCAGATGAAGATATAGGCTGGCACTGTGTTCAGCAGGGAGGATACCGTAAATTGGACTTGTTGTATCACAATTGCTGGGGAATCCACATTTACTATTATGAATAACCCAATGTGAACCTCTAAAGCAGGCTTAGTAGACTGCCCAAAGTGTTTTTGAAGCATTGGAGGGCTGGGAAATGACACCAACAGCATGCTCTTGGTTATGCAAGCAGTTGTGGTGGGACCCCACAACACATCCATCACTGATGACTTCATAAGATGAGAGAAGAATCATGCTCCACTTTGCTACCCTTTAAGCACGGAGCCAGCCAGCTCCTATTACACAAAGCACTACTACTTTCACAGGGCTTTGTAAGCAGGTGTGGCGAAGTGGAGCACACCACCGCAGTGGCAACAAGGGAGGCTTCCCGTGTTGCCTTGGACCAATGGGGAGAATCTGGACAATCAATGCCCCCCCCCCCCACATGGTAAGTTGGGCGATGCAGGGCATAGGGTGATGGGTTCCCCACATTCTCAATGGTGGTTGCTGGATTCATCACGATACATGGCAATTCCATTAGCCAGTGTGAAGGGGTTCCAAGAGAGAGCTGTGGGTGTTATTTCCCAGGATGCCAATCTCCAGCACCTCAGAAATTCTTCAATGAGAGAGAACTAACAGGCTGCAATGATAGGTTTGGGGAGGGTGGGTCCCATTGTAAGTTCTTACTATGATGACTGAGCTGCATAGTAAACAGAGAGGTCGATAACAGCCACATTACATATTCCATATCAGATCTTGTATTGCAAAAGCGGCAAATTAACTGCACCTAATATGGGTTTAGAAAGGCAATTCCTATGGCTGTAGTAGTGTCTCCATCCTGTCTGCAGGAGAGTAGGCTTTGATACAAACACATAGTTGCGTATTCAGTTATGCAACTCCATGAACACACAAATACCACACAGAATACCACCCTTGTATTTTCTCTACACATGTGTAACCGTTTGTGCAATAAGACTCATTCTGGCACAATGGCATGGCTGGATATGGGCCAAGAAAAGGACATTACACCAATTAGTACAGCTGTCCAGAGTATATGAAGAAATACATATTTTGAAGCACATTTCATTATGTACCTCAGGTATTTTTGATTAATTTGCAGAAGCTCCTGATGGGCTA